TTTGAGCTGGCGCCTTCCGAGTTCCGGAAGCTATATCGTGTGGGCCCGTGCAATGGAGCTCATCCAGCGGCTGGAAATCCAATTGAAAGGTAAAAGGATTACCTCAATATCGGTGGAAAAACAGGTAAATCTTCAAATAATGAGAGCATGCAATTTTGGATATGTAGTATGTATACAATAATTTCCTGGGTACGGTTTAGTTATCTGTACAATGATGCCCAAACGCGTGACTCGAATCTAAATAGTTTAACATACGCGTGTATTCCAAGGATTAAACTTTAATTTAAAACAAAGATTTCAAATTTCCAAGCACTAGTTTATTAATAAAACCGGTTTTAATTATGGACTTTTTTGTAAGTTTCGATGTGGCTTCCATGTTGAAATGCTAATGGGGTGAACCGATTTTCAAATGGGCCCCCTGTAGTCTGTAGAGGGGTCAGAGAGGGGAGTTTTGACTGCTCTTTCTAACGGGTATGGTTTTAGGTGTCACACCCTCTCCCCCTCCGCTCCGCACCACAAAATCATTGTACAAATAACTAAACATTTCCCAAATAATCTTTTATCTTTGAAGGTTTTGTGTACACTACGCTTCTATGCCACAGGATGCTACCAACGGCCTGTAGGGGAACAGTGGGGCATATCAATGAGCCAATCCTCTATAAGCCGTTGTATACATCGCGTAACTGATGCCATAAACAGTGGACTATTTTTTGAGGAGGTTAAGTTCCCTATGACGCAGGTGGACCGTCAAGCTGCCAAGGAAGTGTTTGCTTCAGCACCTGCGCCTTTCGTTGGAGGAACTATTGGAGCGGTAGACTGCACGCATGTTTCTATTTTGGGTCCTAAAACTCATGAGGAAGCATACGTGAACCATCATGGCTATCACTCGATAAATGTTCGAATGGTGAGCTAAGTATTTTAAATAAAAGTCGAGCGATAAGTATTTGTTATGCTTTTATAGATATGTGACCCAAATTTAAAAATACTCAACGTCAATGCTAGGTTTCCGGGAGCACGACATGACTCTTACATTTGGAGTTCCTGTCCAGTGCGGCGAGTCATGCAGAGAGCTTTTGACAATGGAAACCGCAACATGCTTTTGATTGGTATTCTTTTTAATTTACTTTAAAATGTACATAATTTAAAATTAAGTTCCTTTCAGGCGATTCTGGATACCCCTTAGAGCCATGGCTCATGACGCCTTTACCGAACCAACCTGAGGGTACTCCTAAGTTTCGGTACAACAAGGCGTTATGCAAAGCTCGAAATCCAGTAGAGAGACTATTTGGAGTGCTTAAAGGAACTTGGCGATGTTTATCACAACAACGAGTGTTACTCTACGATCCTGGTTTTGCTGGTAAGGTTGTAAATGCGTGCTCAACCTTGCATAATATCCGTTTGCGCGAGCAAATAAATGAAGTCGATAATAATATAATATTAGAAGTAGAAACACATGTACATGCAGACGGTACCGACTATAATTCAAATTCGGTATCTTCCATGGGAAAACGTGTCCAAGACCGATTAATTACAAATTTTTTCTCCTAAATACTTTTGTTTTTTGGGCATTTCATCTAGAATTATAAACACCTCGTAACCACGTAAACTTAATTAATTTTGTATCGTAAACCAGTTTATTTACAAGTTACGAGGCATTTATGCTTTTAGATGAATACCCATTTTATTTTAAATTTACATGTTTATCTTCGCACTAGTTTTGTCTTCTTAACGAATGAAAAAAAAAATCAATTTTTACATGGAAGAAAATGCTGAACACCCTCGAAAAAAAAATCTCAAATATGAACGGTATTTTGTAGCGACATCAAACTTGAATTTTACTCTACTGAAATTGAATGGGCTACAAAACTACATACTCGAAAATTTTCTAAAGATTCTGAATAAAGAGTTTGAAATTTTGATGAACGTTTTTTTAAGTTTGATAAATTTCTGTGAACATTGTACAAAGTTAACAAGATTGATTCCTAAGGTTTTTTTATAGAATGAGGTATGTTTTGAATACAAATTTGCAAAAATAGTTCAATATTCAAAATATTTTTAATATTATGAAAAACTATAATACGAATACTTCTGTGAGTGACTGTATACACTATAACCGTATAAAGCAAAAATTAAAATATATTTGAAAACATTATAAATTTTATATAACTTCCTAGTCTAAAAAGCACTTCGAAGCTATTTTATTTTTTATCAAAGAACAGTAGGTGGTCTATCAATAACGACCGAAGACAAAATAGTGTATGTATTTTTGGTATATTAATTATGGAATTGGTTATTGCAAAACACACAATTTTTATAAGATATTAATGAAAAAGTTGTAGCTTCATACATTTTTTTACATACAGTGTTTTGTCTTCGGTCGTTATTGACAGACCACCTACTGTTCTTTGATAAAAAATATAATAGCTTCAAAGTGCTTTTTAGAAGAATTTAGTTTTAAGTTGAAAACTAGTTTAAATTAAATAACAGTTTAAATTGAATAATAGTTTTTATGTGTAGTTTATAGTATTTCACTTAAGTTCGGCTTTTAGAAAATAAATGAATAGAAAAAAGTATTAAATGCAACGAAATGTTCAAAATTTTAATTTAAAAGGCGAATGTGTAATTAAGGTAAATAAATTTAATTTTCATAACAACTATGTCATATTCATAACAAAAACATTTCCAATTTATTTCATAAAATACATATTTTTTAAACTAAAGGTACATATTCCAGTCAGGTACAAAACAAGGTACAAAATAAATAATTTAAAACATAAAAGGAAAAAATAAGTAATTCATTTTGAAAATTAAAAGAAAAACTATAAAATAACTTGTATGATATGTAAACTTTACAGCAAAAGTCTGCATACACCATTCATTTTTTAAATATTCTCAATATTTTGGAAGCTTAAATTCGTTTATTTTTTTTATTATAAAAATATGGATCATACTTAAAACAAAATCATACAAAGCAAAGTTTCAAGGTTTATACAAAATTAAGGAAGATTCAACGATTTTTAATCAACACTTAAATTTTAGTATAATAATGTGTAAAAATGAGGTTGCTACGAAATCGCGTTGATTTTTAATTTAATGCGCTATAAAACTGCGTACTTGAAGTTATTTTATAAAATGCGATTAAAAATTAATTAAAATTAAAATTAATTAACAAAATTAAGGAAAATTCTACGATTATTAATCGACACTTTCAACTTTTTAATACCAATAATATTATACTAAAATTTAACTGTTGATTAAAAATCGTTGAATTTTCCTTAATTTTGTATAAAACTTGAAACTTTGCTTTGTATGATTTTGTTTTAAGTATGATCCATATTTTTATAATAAAAAAATAAACGAATTTAAGCTTCCAAAATATTGAGAATATTTAAAAAATGAATGGTGTATGCAGACTTTTGCTGTAAAGTGTTAAGTAAAACTTAACTTAAAACTAATATTTACATTTCTTAAAACCTAAACTATTAATATTATTTATGAGTTGCCGAGAGTACTCGCGAGTCGGTTAAAACCCTCGGCACAGGCTTTCATACCTTCGCTAAGGACGGTCATAGACTGCGCCATTGCAAGCGTCGCCTCCGTCTGCCTTGCGGTATTTTCAGCCAGCATCTATTGACAAAAAGTATATATTATTACGATTTATGTAAAACATATCTAATAATAATTACTTCTCACCTTCAAAACATCCGTTTGTCTGGAAGAGTTTTCAGCCAGCATCTATTGATAAAAAGTATATATTAACACGATGTTTTTAAAATATAATCAGCCCTATCGCCGATTTCATGTGAATAAATTGTGCCCATTATTTAACATGCAAAACAAAAACAAATTGGGAAAAATTGTTTTTGTTCTGCTTTATAATTTTTGGGAATATTTGTTCACGTTAAATTCGCGATAGGACCTAGTACCTAATACAAGTCGACAACTAATCCGACATGTGGCATTTGACCATAGTTTCATATGTAAGACTTTACGCTGAACCCAAATATAAAGGCAAAATAATATAAGAATGTATAACAATTTTTGAAATATAGCCAAATTTAGGTTTTTTGAGATCTGAAAAAAGTTCTCTCAAGTTATTGCATTTTTTTTTGGATATAGTCAATCTGCAATCTCTTTTAGATTTAGGTAATATTAAAGACAATCGCAAATTTATAGACTTTACTAAATTTAAAGACATTTCAGATTGCAAAAACGTATAAGAACTTTTTTCAGATCTCAAAAAAAAAAAATTTGGCTATATGTTAAATCTGTTTACATTCTTGTATTATTTTGCCTTAATATTCGGGTTCAGCGAAAAGTTTTACATATGAAATTATGGTCAAATGCCATAAGTTGAAATTTTTATTTTTTATTTCTGTAAACTTGATTTCTCACCTTCATGGCATCTGCTTGCTTCTCAGCGACTTCCAGAAATTTTTTCTGGACATCGCTCTCTTCCTCCGTCCGCTTCCTCTTCAAAGCCCTACGCGGTGTTTGCGCAGGAGTTTTAGGTGTGCTGACCTGCACCTCGCTGTCTTCTCCAAACACTGACGCCGGCGTCACCGCATGGAAGACAATATCCTCCCCATCCTCCATGACCAATTGAAGATCCTAATAGTTTAAAAGTAAATTAAAAAAGTATTAAATAATAATAGAAATAATTGTATAACTATAAGCTCACCTCTTCCAATGGCACATTGTCAGG